TAAGTTATTTATTTAACAAATTTTTAATTTATTTCACTCATTTTCTTCATTTTTTGATTTATTTCACCCATTTATTTATTTATTTAATTTTGGCTAAAACGGCTCTCCATATTATACGACCAAACTCATCACGTAAGGATATGTTTATGCACTCTAAAAAATGAGGCGTTGAATTTATTTAACCAAGATATGTCAACTGGTTCCATCAAATTGAGTTGAGCAAAGCAAAGTTTACACATTTTCTATAAATGAAAATGTGTCAGTTGCTTTACATTTATTCAACTCGACGGCTTAGTGAAACTAGTTGACATATCGTAGATAAGTAAATTAAAATAAACACCATTTCTTAGAGTGTGTGTAGAAGTACTTTTACCTTAATTTTCCAGATTTTTTTATTTTTATTTTTAGCAGTCATTTTCTGTTATGGTATTTTTTACTTTTACTTTATTTTTGAGTATTTTATACACCTCTGAAGAGAAGAAAACGGGGGTGGGACAGGAAGAAGTGTCAGAAGAGCAGATATCTGCACATCTGTTTAGGTATTTTTGCCATCAAACATTCAAGTTCATCGCGTTCAGTTGGTTTCAGTTGTTTTGATAAAGCATGCCTGTGATTCTCATCAGGTGAAGTTTTTAAAGTCAGAACAGCTCTTGTCAACTTTTCACTGAGCAAGGAGTCGGTTAAAAAGAAATCTCAGGGGGGTTACGCGTAGAAATCTGAAACCCTGTTCTGAGCTGAGGTTCAGCTGCGCACACTGAGATGAATCGACATTATCGTGATGAGCTTAAATGAGTGATTCTTCACCACGTTTCTCTCATTTTATTGTCGGATCACCTGCAGGTTGTGAATTATCTGCAAGTCACACAAATGATGAGCCCACACTGTGCACAGTTTCAGTTTGCAAAGTTCCACAGGTTGACTTTAAAGTATGAGGAAAAACACAATACGCTATATAATGGCGGAGATTTTAAGTTTATTTCAACAATGCAGCTATAATAATACCTGGAAAAAACTGCATGAGAAATTGAATATATTGTATTATTTGAATAATAATGAAATTGAATGACTACATTTCTTACTCTCCTTCATTACAGTACATAAATTATTAGCAGATGCACAGAGTGGAAGTCTGTGTTTATTTCTGGATCTGTGATTCGAGAGGTGCCATGGTTACTGCAGGAAAAGGAGTGTGTTGCAGTGGAGTGGAGTTCCTTGCAGAGGATAAAAAGTGTAACGAGAGTGAGGGATGATGAGCGTGCAGTGCTGGCTTTTGTTTCATAACTAACAGAGTTTTGTGATGAAAGGCCAAAGTGCATCCTTCCAGTAGCTGTAAGGTTTCCAGGGAAGACAGGCTGCTGTTTATATGTGTTTGTGCCCGATCGTGACCTCTACACTTTGGTCCTTATTGCTGCCTGTGGCAATCGCCTGCCGCTTCAATTTTACATGTGGGCCATGAATTTTACATAAAGGTAAGGTGAAGGTGAGACAGAGGAAAGAGCACATTGCTGAGTTTGAAAACAAAGTTAACATTTTTTAAATACATATTTAGGGATATTTGTTACAAAATGTGAAATTAAACATAAAAATATGGTAGCTTGAAAAGGGTACTTTTTCAGATTTCTTGAATTAAATTCTGAAATGRGGGTTCAAATTCATTGCAGTTTGCCAAGACTCATTAGCAGTGTTGTATAAAGTACCACGAAGTGATACTTGAGTAAAAGTACAAGTATCTTACCAAAAAATTATTTTGGTAAAAGTGAAAGTCTCCTTTAGGAATATTACTTGAGTAAAAGTCAAAGTATCTGATATTTTTTCTACTTAAGTGTTAAAGTAAAAGTATTGATTTTCTGTAATGACATTTATTAGGAGGTGACCTCCCCCCAAAAATGCAGAAATGACTGTATTATTAAAATAATTAATTAATGTTAAATTTAGGATGCACCAGTCTAGCTGTTTCGGTTTATATACTTATATCAAGGCTGCCCAAACCTTTTCCCCAAAATGAAAATCTATGTGAGGGCTGCGGCCAAATGCAATAATATAATTCATGAAATACAAATACTTCTTAAGTACAGTCCTTTTATTTTAATGATTATGTCCTTCTGGAGTGGGTATCAGAATTTTATGTATTTATTCTTCTCATTCAACCATAATTAAATTCACTCTATCTAGAAGGCACAATTTATATGGATAGCATTTATTTTTTACAATAACAAGCTGGAATGAAAACAAGCAAAAATGAAACTAGACATGGGTTTTTACGATGTAAAAACAAGTGTGCATTGCTTTGCCTGCAGCTTGAACTGTGACCAAGTTGAAATGTCTTTGCTAATCAAGTACCAGCTTGTGCCTGCCATGTCAGCAGTTAATTGTAATGAGGGTAATTGTGTGAGAAWATGACAATTAGAAAATYTYTAYTTMTAATGAAARATTWTGTTTATGGCTGGGATTGAACCCCGATCTRCCACATGAAAGCCCATAGTGTTCACCATGAGACTATAGGAGCTGTTGCAAWAATCACTCCCAGTGTTAGGTTTGTATGTGTGCTGAAAGAGGCCATATTGTCAATGCAATTGTTGACACTAAACTGCAATATATTACAACAATAAAGGAATATTAGGACAATATTATAGTGAAATATCAAAATACAATCATGTTTGTATTGTAAACACTGAACTACTGAGTTTAAATATTATTAAACTATGGTGCAGTACCGTACTGAGTAGATACAGCATGGGGCAGTATTGGACCAATAGAAGGCTCCATTGACTCCCATTATTTGATTTTAAACATTAATATTTCAAAAACTATAGGCTGTACAGGCACCAAAGGGCATAGCAATCATTCGGCACAGGAGCTTTATAGATTTAAATTACAATGGCAGCTCTAGGACAAAGTATGCAGGAGGAGAAGCATGCCAAAGTTGAGATGACTTGGATGGGAAATGAATCACAATAGTGTGCATTGCATTGGCAATGCACACTGATAAAAGTAACAACTTTCTACATCTTGCTTTTTTTAAATGTAAGGAGTAGAAAGTACAGATAATTGTGTGAAAATGTAAGAAGTTTTTTACTCACGTAAAGTACAGATACCTAAAAATTCTACTTAAGTACAGTAAAGAAGTATTTGTACTTAGTTACTTTACAACTCTGCTCATTAGGCTTGAGTAACATGATAGAACTTTGTTAGGCTGATTGTAGTTTATGTAAATGAATAAAAATAGCTGTTAAGTATCATTTGGGCTGTTTTCAATCAATTTGGCTGTTTTAGTTGGTATAAATAAAAAAACACTGGTAGCTGGCATCTGGTCACAAAATTCACTTAATTAAACTATTCAGGACTTATTAAACATTAGTTAATTTCTTTCTTAATGAATAAATCTGAAATGAACACTTTAAATATTTGACTAAAGTGGTTGCCATATTCTGCAAATAGAACTGTTGTTGCTGGAAGCAAACTGGGAACACCACAGAACGAGGCATGTTAGTGATACTGTTGTCTCGCTCAAACAGAAGGCTGATAAATTATTAATTTTTTCTTGCTTAGCAGGTGATTTCAACACGGGGAGTTGTGTTACATGCAGTGGGGCTGCTGAATGATCCATTCATAACTCTGACAAGGAGTTTAGTTCACACTCAAGTGCTTCTGTCGCAGACATTCTTTATTACCTCGAGGCTTCGCTGCTATCTGTTTGGAGAATAATATATATACACATGAATACTCTACAAAGTAAATACATCTATTGTTGCTTTCAGTGTAAGGCTACGGTGTGATGAGTAAAATGCTCTGGTAGTGACTTATGAGCTGTGAAGGACACAAAACTTTACTTTTTAAGTATAAAGAAAGAAAACCCCAAGGTTAGGACAAAACTGTGCATTTCATGCTGTGGATGGTTTCTTCTTTTTTCTAATATGTTGCATCTTTAGCTTGCAATCCCATCACAGAGGCGGTGCTAACACTGATACAGTTCATCTGAAAGTATTTCCTTTGTGAGGGTTGCGTGACTGTGCGTGTTGCTGTAAGGTTTCTGGACGTTTGTGTGTTTGTGTAGCTTGAAAACCAGGATTCGGTGCGAACTCTGCTGAAACGGACCGAGGCGGAGCTGAACGTGCGCGTGGCAGACACCCTGAGGAAGCAGGAGGATCCTCTGCAAAGACAGCGCCTCCTCGTGGAGGAGGAGCGACTCAAATACCTCAATGAGGAGGAGCTCATCATCCAGCAGCTCCAGTTAGTCTAAGACTTTTATCAAAGCGATCGGGATTGTTTTATCAGTAGATATTAAAGTGTTGGTAAGAATGGAAGGACACATACATGTGTACTGTTTTAACTATAATACAAGGGATTTTTTTTTGCCTTTTTGCATTAAAACTTTTGAATAAGTTAGTTGAWACAGATATGTTAAAAGTTCATGTCTGTTTTTCAGTTTGATGATAGAGTGACTCAATGATGGAAGGAAATTGTAACTGTAATTAAGCCTGGCACTGAGCAAGATGCTCATTAAGATCTGAGATTCATGGCTGTTTGGCAACTAATTAAAGTGACTGCAAAAACGAGAGCTGAGAGCTACCTTGAGATTTAATAATCAGATAGGTCGCTTCAGCCTCATATGTGAAAATGTTCATTGTGGTGCCGAAAGTCGAAAGACGGCCAATCATCAACTGATCTTATGAAAACACAGAAACGGTTCCAACRCAGTCAGTTTTACAAATATTGWGTRAAAGTTTGATGTGGTGGTCGCTAAYTGTCATCCTCAACAGATAATCTAAATGTTAACAGATCTTAAAATGTTGCACCATTTCAAGGGCATAAACTTTGGTCTACTATTGGGGGATGGGGGATGTTTCTGAAGTAATTCAGGATATTGCTGGGTTAAAATACATTGTAATACTTTTTCTGGGATTTACTTAACTTTCCTGTTTTCTTTGTAATTACTCTGCACCTTGTCTGTTTCACGTCAGTTCAACAATTAAGAAAAGCCTAACATTTTTCCTCAAAATTTTCCAACAGTAACAAATATTTTGCATTTTTAGGATGTATTATACGACATACCCAAAGTCCTGAATTTTCCAAGAGTYTATATTTACCTGATGCACTGAAATTCAGCTAGGAAAAATTACAACACCTGATTCAAGAGAAGACTAAAACCCTGCATGTGATTTTCAGCAATAAGGCTAAAACATACATTAATGACATCGTAAATTATGAAATCAGGTTAAAGTTACCGAAAGATGGCAGGACAGTTGCAGCTTTGTACTTACCCAGTTCATTCAGTGTGTTAGAGCAAATGATGTCATTTTATTAGGGGGTTGTATTGATTGGATCAACCCCCCCACCCCCCACACACACACACACACACACAAATTACACCCCTGCACCATTTACAACAACTGTATTGCTTCCCATTATAAGGTGGGCTGTTTGATGTAATACTCACCAGACTTCCTCATTTTAAGTTTGCTTAAACAGTATTCATCTTACATGGATAAATCAAAGCCTTTTTGTGTCAGATTTTTTTGCAAGAAGTTTATAAAATACACACTCCTCCGGTTCAGCTGTTCCAAACTTTTATAGTTGACTAATAGGCTGTTTACTGGCAGAGGATTAACTGAAACTCGAACAACAGTTTTTTAAGTGTGGCGGAGGGATCCCTGGTGCTCAGCCGTCTGTTTGTTCCATCTCAGCGACCTGGAGAAGTCGGTGGAGGAGATCCAGAAGGAGTCGTCTGTCAACCACAAGCTGGTGACGGTGCAGGAGCTGGAGGAGAAGTCGAATGTTCTGAGAAAGCTGGGAGAAACACTCACAGAGCTGAAAAGTGAGTCATGCTGGCACATCTCACATTCTGCGCACGGCATTAAATGGAAAACAGTTGTTTACTCTGGTAGACAGTTTATTATCCACTAATTACTCACCGAGGCACTGATTATCTTTTAGTCACCACAGCCAGTCTGCAGTGTTTAATCACCATCACGTTGCTCATGAACTAAATGAACTTGCTGACCATTTGCAGTGGTTTAAAAAAATGTAAAGTTTGATTACCGTTAAAAGCTTTTATTATCCTGGACAAATATTTCTATTTACAGGAGCACGATTGTTTCTTTTTTTTTCTTTTCTTTTTGCTTTTTCCTGCAGATCAGTTCCCGAGCCTGCAGAGTAAAATGCGYGTGGTGCTGCGGGTGGAGGTAGAAGCCGTCAAATTCCTTAAAGAAGAACCGCACAGACTTGACGCCCTGTTAAAACGCTGCAAGACAATAACTGACACCCTCGCCACGATGCGCAAGTACGAAGCAGCTCTGACAGAAAGCGCCAGGAACTTTACGGCGRCTCTGTGTTGTTGCTCTGCAGTCTGGAAAGCATGTTGTGTTCTTATAGGCTGTCCTTACAGACACTGAAAAGTTTCAGACAAACTTAAGAAAAAAGTTGCATTTGTTTTTTTTTTAATAGCTATTTGGAAAAATGTACAGTTTAGAGTGGGTGTAGCTGAGGTTCATTAACAACAGACTCCAACAGCTACTTATTGCACAAAATCTTTGCTTAAAACTTTTGCATTAACTGTTGGAGTCAAGCCTGTTTGCTTGTTAGCAAAATATCTTAACTACCGAATGAAAAAAGATATAAAGTGATACTGGTTGAATATTTACACCATTTTTACAGGCCTCAGTTCTCTAAGGGTGCATTCACACCAGCCCTGTTTAGTCCACTTTAATCAAACTCTAGTTCGTTTGCCTATAAAGTCACGTAATCAAACTCTGATGAGGACCAAATGTGCGAACTCTAGTCCACCTGAAAACCTAGGTCTTGGTTCGATTGCACGTGTGAATGCCAAGCAGATCGGAGACCGCTCCAAAAGCAGGAAGTGGACTATAACAAAGGGCATTCTGGGTAATAACAGTAATAAAGTCACTCATTTCTTGTAAATACCTCGTTGGACGTCTGTTTAAGGTGGCAACTCATTCTCACTCCCAACTCGTCACATATTGACGCTTGGTCAGGTACTGTCTGCGTCGGGTACCCCCCCTCGCTTCAGTTATTAACGAGATGAGACGGAGGAGGAGGAGCGCGTTGTCATATTTTTGAAAAGAGTAGGAGATGCACGACAGCTAACTTCTATTAGCCCACACCCTATCCCTGACCTCAGTACCTAAAATTAACCATTAATCCCMATCTCTCATATTAACCACAGACTCCCAACCCAAAGACCCCTGTGTGGCGCAACCTGGAAAAGCCGTGGGCGTGAATAACTGATGCAAGGGGGGTACCCGACATGGCAAAACTGGACGCAGATGATACCTAACCTGTACTGAGTGGGAAAACAATATTTTTTGAAAACTATTTATTTGACCAACTGAAAATGTAAACAAATCAGTTTTGGTTCCCAATCAAACTGAGTCTACTGGACTATCAGGTGTGAATACATTCTTAGTTTCATAGATACTGAGTTAAAAAAGCAGTTTAGAAGCACAGGTTCAATCTTTTYTTTTTACTTTTTTGTGTTCAAACAGCTTGCTTAAAAGCTTACTTAAAAGTTTAATTAATTTAATTCAGTACAGACCTTTTATTTTGTCTTTTTGAAAAATGCTAAAATCAGTCATTCAGGTGTAAAATGTGCTCTTACATCTTTTTTTACTGGCCTTTTCTTTTGAAGCGCAGTATAAATTATTCACAGAAGTGGTTGTTGAGTTTGTCCGTCGTGTTTTACCAGGCAGGCAAACGAAGGCGTGTGGAAGAAGCAAGACAACTTCTCTAATCCTTTATCAAAGCACAGTGATGACTTGCAAAAATTTCCCGGCTTTGACATCACCACCAGCCCACCACTCACCATCAATGACCTTGGGGGAGGAAACAGCCTTTCTAACTGGAGCCCTCACTCCAGCCTCAGTCGAGGTCTCGGTAACCCAGCTGGCTCTCACAAGGACAATCATCCTCCAGTTCCCCACAAGGGCAAAGCTCTGGAGGAGCTGGAGCGCCGCGCTGCTGCTGACAAAGCTTTGTCCATGGAAGTCCGACTGGTACGACTGAGTCCTTATCATTTTTATTCTTCTTCCACTGTGAATTACTTAAAACACTTGAACAATAACAGGGTTGTGTAAATCAAACATCACACTGACCATGTTTCCTTTTACTTTGCAGGCAGCGGAGCGGGACTGGGAGGAGAAGCGGGCCAGTCTCACCCAGTACAGTGCCCAGGACATCAACCGGCTGCTAGAGGAGACCCAGGCTGAGTTAATGAAAGCTATTCCAGACCTGGACTTTGCTGCCAAGCAGATCAAACCTTCATCCAACTCGCCATCAACCCAAAACCCCCAAAGTGGAGCAGCAACTCTGGAGCACCGCTCCAACAAGCCTCAACACAAGCTTTCTGCAAAAGAAGGGGGGTCCAGACGCGGCTCAGGTACAATGAAAAATTCCTGATGTTTATTCTTAGTTTCTAAACACTCTTGTGTCTGAAATTTAGATTCTAAATGTGTGTCACTTTCTTTTCCAGATGAGCTGACCATACCCAGATACCGCACAGAGAAACCCTCCAAGTCCCCCCCACCTCCGCCACCCAGACGCAGTTTCCCCTCGTCTCCAGGAGTCACCACTCGCAGCGGAGAGCCACTTGTTCCTGGGAAAAGTATAAAGGTAGCACAGTGACAGATTGAAACTGTGCATTTTTTTCAAAAACTATTTACTGTTGAACAACTTTTTAAGCCTGGCTTGAAAATCTACTATATATATATA